AGCATCGCCTCCTAACAAGGAACTGTACGGACGACAGTAGCTGGGTCGGTCATGTGTTTATCCGCTGACTCACAGGTTGGCGTTGCGATTCCAGCTCCCACAGATGAACGCTGTCATCGTGGAAAATGAAGACCATTTCCCAGCTGCTCTTCTTATTACTACTGATGGGTGACTGATAGTAGCATGCACCGTTTAAATGTTACTCTTCAAATATTTCTCAAATAAATCAGAGCTAGTCCTGTCACTATAACATATTTTTACGCACGATATGTTGCTACGGAGAGAAATATTGCAATAAACTTTGGCTACATTTATATGATGAAGGTCTGAACAGAAGATGTAAAAGTGGTATCGCATCTTCACTTTTTATTCCGCATTTAGACGAGCGTTTTTTGGAGGAAATCTAGGTACATACGGTGACGCAAAAGTGTGTAGAATTCGATTAGGTATGTATGTGACGTAAACGTGTACATGATGTGAGCAGATCTGACCAGAGTTTTGCATCTTGGGCGGTGTAGAAGGAAACGCTACGGCAGAGCGTATTCAAATTTTCCACTCCGGAGGGTGGTTTCAGATTTTTGCTTTTTTTTAAGCCGCCACTGTCTAAACGAAAGCCATTTCTGATAAAATATTTTGTCTTTTTTTTTTTTTTTTACCCGCAAGTGTTCTCGTGTAAACAGAACAGCCCTATAATACTGAAACTACTTTATTTCAGTATTATAGTTTATTCACGCTTACAAGAAGGCGTTTAGAAACATGCAGGTGACGAATTCTTGTGTAGTTACTGACACTGGGCATGTGATAAAACTGCGGATTCAGCAAGAGCGTCTTCACAACCTGCGAAAGCTTTCCATGGGGGACGGGACTCTCATCACGTCTTCAAAGTTACTTACAGACAGCAGGTTGGAATTGTAGATATGCCGAACATAATGGAATGCTGCAATGACATATTTTTTTTTAAACGCACAAATTAATAAGCAGTTTATAAAAGGAAAAATGAAACAATTAGGGATGGGCATGATTAGTCGATTAATCGATAATTGATCACTAAGAATTTCATCGATTACGTTAATTTTAATCGACAAACCGAATGTAGGTTGCTGTGCGTAGTGTGACCAAACAGGGGTCCGTACATGTGTCTCTCTGCACTCAGAAGGAGCGAGCAAACACAGACAGTCGGTCAGTCTGCAACGTACTGAAGCACAAATGCGTATTTAACGATGACTTGTACAAGAAATTCCACGCTTTCCGTTGCGTTCGGGACAAGTGTGAGTCCATGTGCACAGTGTATAAAGCAGGAACATATGTTTCGGTGTCCAGTGGGAAAAAGTTTTACCAGGTGAGAGAAGTGCAATGTCGATGACGAGTCCCCACCTCCCGTACGGTGTCCTGGTTTTGACAAACGCAAATCTGGTCACACTAACCTGTATTCCACTGAGTCATGTCTTTTAATCTGACAGAAATTGACCGCATCAGCGACACAAGAGCTGTAGTTTTATCTTCGCTGAGTTTATGCAAATTAGCGATGCGGTTTTAAGTTTCGTTTCTGAGAGTTGCGCAAAACTGAATTAAACACATTATAATGTCAAACGGGCTGATGTGGCTCTAGAGTCGTTACGGTTTATATGTCGTAAAGTTGAATTTATTTATGCAGATTAGTAGTGCAGACAGTAATAATAATGATGATCTTTTTATTATAAAAACGTTAATGATTAATCGATAATCGATCGTTAATTCTTCCGACGATCGATGAAGAAAATTTCATCGAATGCCCATCCCTAGAAACAATACAATGATATCTAGATGAGGAAAACCTGACCATTTTCTCAGATTTCATCAGTTACTATCGCCAACTGCATTTTTCCAAACGTCTTCCGGTTTTGTGACATAAACGTGAATGGAGCCTACAACAACAAAGCAGGGCTGTCCCAGTGAACCTTTTTTAAATGGAAAGTATCATGAGCTTCAACAAATAAATAAGAGAATGAACTGTTAATTCGCATGGACTCATACAGCTCAAATCTTATCGTATTACAACAAAAATAACAAATTTCTCCCCACTGTTGCAAAGACTTTGTACACACGATAAATACTGAACCCAAAAATATTGTGACAGGCCTAATTACTGCACATTAAAGATATTACAATGTAGTTTCTCGAAGTTTCGTTGGATTGGCAGTGGTGTTTTCTGTCAGAATGCAGGGCGTGAATAGTTCCTGGTCAGATGGATGAGATGGATCCCTAAAGAGCCTGTACTCAAATTTTTCTCCATGTTTTTGAGAAAAATTTGTCTTCTTCCAGTACAGATAAATTGTTTAAGCAGATGTTGAATAGGGATCCAGCTTTTTTTGTTCCAATACCGATGTTGATACTTTGGCTTTAAGTATCTGCTGATCCCCAATATCAACAGATATCTGGGCAGAGACTGAAAATAATAGAATTGACTTCCTTTAAACACAAATGGTGTTTGGTAAAAAATGATCCAAATGTGTGTTTTTAACTGTTTATTTAAAGTAACTGCAAAAAAGCTTGGCCAAAATTTAAGATATAAATATTTAAATCTATCAGAAAATGACGTAAAATTAGTGAAATTATCTGTTCATGCAGCAAGATCATTTTACTTGACAAGTTATTTGAAAATAAACTACTTCTAGACTAGAATTAAACACTTTCTGGTCTAGTAAGTAGATCATAAATCTGAAAACAAGATGAATAACCTGATATAAGTTTTAAAATCTTGGCCAGATCAGAGAAATTTGCAGTGGAACAGCTTTAAAAACTATTACGAGGCAGCAACAAGAAAATCCAATAAAATCATCTTATTACACCAGTTTTTAGTCCAAAACTGAATAGTCGGAAGTCTGCTGTGTACTACTGTCTGCATCTAACTATAAAGCATTATCGTATTTTTCGGACTATAAGGCGCTCTTAAAATCCGGTGCGCCTTATGTATTAATTCTGGTTGTGTTTACTGACCTGGAATCGATTTTATGTGGTACACGGCGCTCAAAAATCTGTCGAAATGTCTTAGTACGACTTTGGTAAGTTACAAAGCCGCACCACTTGATGGATTGTCGGAGCATTATGGCTACTGTAGTCAGGAGTCTCGCGGAGTAGAAAAGTTTGTAGTGAAGTAAAGGGGGTGTTCTGTTCCACTGAGTCGTGTCCTTTAGTCCGACTGCATCAGCGCACAAGGAGCGAGCTGTTTTTTTTTTTTTTTTCAGTGCTTATTGTTTATGCAAATTGGCCATGTGGCTTTAAGTTTTTCGTATCTGTAAAACGTAAACAAATGTGCGCAAAGCTGCATTAAACACATTATTACTCAATGTATATTTGAGTCCTCCTCATAGGAAATAAAAAAAACTAAAAATCTCCACCTGCATTCACATTCATAATCCACATTCACCAAGACAGGGAGGCAACGCCAGGCGAATTATGCCACTGGATCGTGGAAGTGTTGTGTTTGTTTTGCTTAATGCGCCTTAAAATAAACGAGAGAATTCAACATTATTGATATTGCGCCTTATAATCCGGTGCGCCTCATAGTCCGAAAAATACGGTATATTGTTTGAGAATCAGGAACCATACTAGTTGTTATTAGCATTATCGGAACGGCAAAACAGAGTTGCTTAAGTGTCATGCGATTGATTGCATTTTAACAAAGGGTGATTATATTTTCTGCTTTTGATACCTAACTCAGCGCTGTGTAATCTAATCTTTGGGATTTGAATTTCCTTGTTGCTCATGAGAAATTTTTGCTGAGCGTAGCAGTCCTCCGCTCTTTTTCCTCCCCCTCCTATTCCCTAATTCTCTGATTAGATTCCTGAAATGCAGACAGGAAAAGAATTTGGGAGGACTTGGACTTCCCTCTGCTCCATCTGCCTCTTCCTTCTCCTCGTGTTAAAGCTTGTCTTGCCTATTTAATGTAGATTTTTAGGATCATTTCCTGTCCGGAGAAGGTCTGAATCCCAACCATGTGAGGAATGTGAGTGGTAAAAGGTTTGGCAGTGGAGCTTAAAGCATCTGGAGATTGTGTCATGTTGCTCAAGGCCTTGACGAGTTGGAAAAAAAAGATCTAATTGATGAGAAATGTGATTCGGTTCGCAGTTTTAATTACGGATATGTTGCACATTCCCTGGGAGTGTGATGCTAACTGTAGGCACTGCTTTTTCTGAAGCTTGCGAGACTTTAATCTGGGCTTTATTTTAACACAATCTGACCAGAAAAAAATGATTTATCTTGTGACGCTCACCTTTTTGTTGAAAATCTAACACGTAATGAACAATCGTACTGATCATAAACTCCTGAAAAAATGTCTTATTTAAACTCATTTTGTGTTTTTTTTCTTGAGTTTAAAACTTTTTTGACAATGTTTGCGCGTGTGTTGTGTCACTGTGGAAACTTCTAAACCTTCCACCATTAGAGATGCATGTAGAAACCCCCAGCGTATTTTCACTGCACAGTATCAGTAAGATTCTGTTCAAAGTTCACATTTTAAAGTTGACAAAAAGACTGAAATATGAGCTAGCAAACTAGTACGCATTCAGAACAGACTGTGTTATGGTAATTCAAATATGGAAGACGTTGGTATAGGGCTGCAAGATAAATCAAAATCAAATCAAAATGAAATAGACGCAATCAGCAAATCGCAAAAGCTGCAATTTTTACCATAATATCCTCCACAAACTACAAAATATTCAGTCTTATTTTGCATTTTTTAAAAACTGCTGACTTTGTAGTTTCTGAAATTTGATTCTTGTATTTCATTTTTCGGTCTTTTTTTTTTTTTCAGTCAATTCTTCAGGACATGAACTTTGAACAGAATTATGTTATCCAAACTTAAATCCCAAATCTGATTGCAATGCTTGTCAGAATAAGGGCTGTGTATCATTAAGAAGTTGCCGATACGATACATACCTCGATAAAGTGAGCTTTTGATTTGATATGATTAAATTCAAACCCACTTGCTCATCTGTGCCCTGTCTGTCTCTGTATTTTAGGAGAATCTGGTCTGGGGAAGTCCACTCTTATAAACTCACTGTTCCTCACGGACCTGTACTCACCAGAATACCCAGGACCATCGCACCGGATCAAGAAGACTGTACAGGTAACACAAACACGCCCCAACACGAGCATATGAACCAGTCAAGAGTTATGAAGCCTGAAAAACGAATGCTGTACATTGTTTGGTGACCATAGTAGGTCTGCCTCATCTGTTTTCAAGTATTTTACTGGCCTTATCCAAGTAAATCACCACTGTATTCAATAATGTTAAAATTACAATATTCAAGGACAGTATTGTGGTTTTCCAGAAGACAGTTGTACAATTTATAGCTCTTTGTATTGTCTTGAAGAGACACTAACGAGAAAAATATGAATTTGCTAGGCTCTAAAGAAAATCTAAAACACATGCCGTATTTTTCGGACTATAATTCTTTAATTTTTTAAAAAATTGACAGTGCACCTTATGTATTAATTCTGGTTGCGCTTACTGATTTTACGTGCTTGACGGCGCTAAAAAATCTGTCAAAATGTTTTAGTACGACTTCGGTCGTGCCGCAGAGCTTGATGGATTGTCAGAGCATTACGGCTACCGTAGTCAGGAGCCTCACGAGTCCGATAGAGTCCAACAGAAGCTGACTGCATCAGCGCACAAGGAACGAGCATTTTTTTTTCAGCGCTTATAATTTATGCAAATTAGCCATGTGGTTTTAAGTTTTGTTTTTGTATAATGTAAACAAATGTGCGTAAATCTGCATTAAACATATTATTACTCAATGTATATTTGAGTCGTCCTCGTAGAAAATTAAAAAAACGCCCACATTCACATTAATAATACACATTCAGCAAGACAGGGAGGCAATGTCGAGCAAATTACACCACGATCTGCCAATGGATCGTGGACGCCTGGGCTAAAGGATCAGTCTCAAGTGTTGTCTGTTTGTTTCTCTTAATGCGCCTTATAATCCGGTGCCTCTGAAAATAGACGAGAGAATTCAACATTATTGATATTGGGCATTATAGTCCGAAAAATACAGTACACACACACGACAAATTTTGGGATAAACCTGGCATTATATCAAAACCAAAACAACATCAGGACTAGAATAAGACCAAAGATCAGGACTAAACCAGGATCAAACCAGAACAGTGAGTACAGCCTATAGATTTACACGCCTAAACTGAAGTGAATGACTCAGTATTTCAACATAACTTGCCTCTTAAATGCCCCAGTGATTATTAAAAGTGTTCCCTGAGCTGAGATATTTTGGTTTCATCATTCCCGTCCTGTACGTTTGATTGGCGCTTTTGTTTTTGTGATGCTCTCTCCCTCCGAGCTGTTGCCACCCAAGTGCGAGTGTTCGTCAGTGAAACCGGTCCTTCCGCTGTAACAAAGGCCCGTGTGCCAGAAGCAAACACAGGTTATAAATTTAAATTGGCCTGCGTAATCATAGCGTTGTTTTAAGGAAGCTGCTTGTTAACAGTTTGCTGCTCGCTGTAAATCTCAACACAACAACAACTCCAGGCCCTTGTGTATCCTACATGCTATAACGTTATAAAACTATACGTGAAAGGTTGCTGGGTTCATCCACCTTCTTTCCTTCTCTTTAGTTATTTCCTTGCCTGGAATGTTCCGCAGTGTGACATTAAAGGCGTATACCTGATTTAGAAACGTGAAAAGCAGGACTAGGCGCAGTGGTCCAAAGTTATTCCTCACTTACCTTTTGTGAACTCTGAGCATCCTGATCATTCGCAGTGTGTTCGTAAGTGATTTTTCTCAACTTCCAGAGACTAAAGTGGAGCATGTTAACCGCGCAGTTCCTGATTTTTGGTCATTCAGAAGTGGTTTATAATTAGATGCAGAAAGTACACACCTCAAGAGACTTTATCTGTACTGGGAAAGAAAATGTTTAAAGGAACAGAATAATGTTTGAAATAAAACTAATCTTGCATCGCCTGAATCGTCGCATGTTGAGGGACTATTTTCTCATATATCAGTCCGCCGCTGCCAAACTTTCTATCAGGAAGTACAACTCACTGCTGCTGCTCCTCAGACATAAATCCTTCAAATGCAAGGTTGGTTTTACTTCTGAAATTATTCTATCGACACAGACATTCACATCGACAGTCTGGTGTAATAATAGATTTGCTTCGGGTGTTTTGTGGAGTGGGTAAGACTGTTTTTAGTTTCAGGATAACTATGGCCATTGACATGCACTAGCCTAGCACCAGCGACCTCTGCAAATACAAGGACTGGACGGAATATTTAAAAAAGTGTCTCCACGCGTCTCCAACACTCTGACTCACTAAGAAATGAGGTCCTATGTCCAAAATTCCAGACTGTCCCTTTAAGCAATAGATAGTTAGATAGTTAAATAGTGTATCTTTTTAATATAGCCTATTTTTTAGTGTTTAGTGTTCATTTTTACAACAAATTTCGGCTTTTGGTGGTGGTTTGATGGTCATTGTTGAGGATGGGCTTTAGGTAGGTTCCAGTATCAGTATTGGCCAGTATTGATTATTTGATACTGATATTTTTGGACATTGCCCCATTCTCTGTGAGTCCTATTTGAACAGACTCGTGAGCCAAAATGGAAACTGAAGCGTTATATGGCTGTATTCTTGCACTTTTACATCCATGACAAAGGAGAAATTCAATTTGTGAGCTGGACAAATGTTTTTTTAGGTCGAAAACGTTTCGTACCTCAAAAGCTGCACTTTTTTTTGCCATAATTTCCCATCATTTCCTCCACAAACTACAAAATATTCAGTCTAAAGCCCTATTCACATGGGATTTGTATTACCTGTGGAGCTTTATTCGTAATAATTGTGGCGGATCTTAATCCCGTGCGAATTCACCATGTCTGTAATTTGTAAAGTAAAAATTCCGCCCCAAATTACCGACTATATTTCAGCAAACACAGACGTCCGGTGATATTACTAGTCCCCTGCGAATCTGCATCTCTGTGTTTGTTGTTGTAATTGCGCACCTTTTCTGTCTCTTTCTTTACTTTCCACGTTCTTTTCTCTTTCAATCTCTTTGTCAATGTCAGTAAAATTGAGTAATTTATGGACTTTGCTTGTCCTGTGCAAATGCGCTGCAAGTAACACAGAGGTGGGACGGTAATTTGCAAATTCCCCAGGTTGGATTTATCCCGTGCGAATAGGGCTTTATTCTGCATAAAAAAAAACTGCTGACCCTATAGTTTCTGAAATTTGATTTGATTAGCTTTTCATTTCATATTTTAGTCTTTTAGTCATTTCTTCGGAACGTGTTTAAAATGTGAACTTTGAACAGATTTCTATTATCCAAACTTAAATCCCAAATCTGATTAAAGCTGTGCAATTAATCGAATTTTGATCGCGATTTCATTTATTTTTTTGTATCTCAGACGATCTCCAAACTCGAGTTGAAACGATTTAAAGCTTAAAGTTTATTTTAAAAAGTAAATTTATTTTATTTTATTAAATGTAGAGATTGTAGAACAGCTGGATATATAGTTTGTTTTGGATACATTTATGTTTTTCTATGCCTTATTTCATGTTCAAAGATTATTTTATTAATTTTATGTTTTATACTTTGCAAACCTGCTCTAAGGTTCATATTTGTAGCCTGAATTTATTTTAAATTTGAAAGTTTTGCATAAATTATCAATAACAAAGTGTGTTTTTTTGAGAGAGAAAAGCTGAATAAATGCATCATGTAACAAAAAAATAATCGTCTGAATAATCGTGATTTCAATATTGACCAAAATAATCGTGATAATGATTCTTTCCATAATTGAGCAGCTCTAAATCTGATTGCAAGGCTTGTCAGAATAATTATACATCGGCTATCATAACTCATGTGTACAAAACAAACTTTGATTATAAGTGAACCAACCAATAATACTTTGATTCTGGTGAAATGATGAAAGTTTTACATAATAACTTGACTCATCCGGAACCAGTGAGTCTGAAGTCGAAGGCCAGCGCAAAGACAAGGGCTCACTGTGTGCCGCCTGATCTTCAATGCTGGACCAGAACCAGGGCCTGAGTCTGTAGGTGTTTGGGGCATGGGAGCGCCGGGTCGGAGAGGTATAAATCTGGAAAAACAGAGGAGCCATTATACCACGAGACTGCATTTTATTATGGACCGTAAATACAAACAGACCACCGCAGCGAGGGCAGAGATCACATGGTACAGTTTGAGGAAGAATGCGTTTACAGGCTGAGGATGCACTCTGGAATTCCTTTCTGCTAAATACTCTGTACTTAACCAATCATGAAATTAAACATGAAATTAAAGGAGCTGTGTCTGATTTTTACTGTCTTTAAAACGTGAAAAATAGAACCAGTTAAATTTAAAGTACCTATGACAGATTTTTATGATTCTCTAAAGTGCGTATGACAGATTTTTATGATTCTCTAATTATGGCTTAATTTTGTGGGGTTATTGCTATCGTAAATATAAATTATAGCTTTAAACTAGTCGAGAAGAAAGAAATTTTAAAGAAATTTAAAGAGAAGTCCAAAAATGTGTTGAAAATTGCAGGAATTAGAGTTCAAACATAGATGGCATCACAATAGCGAGAAATCTATCCAAAAGTTCAGCACAATTTACAAGAAACAAATTTTTTCTGATACTTTTAACATGATTTCAACAAAATGAATGTGTTTTTTTGTATTTGTATTTGTCAGATAATCATTTCTGTGTAGTTTTGCTAGATAAGAGTTGTGAATTTCCTAGTGTGATACCATGATTTCGAACTAGGAATTAAAGTTTTAAACCTAAAAAATTGCCAAATTGGGAAAATTAGTATGAATGTTTTTGCTAAAATCTTAAATATAATGATTTTAACTGAGGTTTTGCAAAATGAGCAGTCAGTACTGTCAACTTTACTGGCACTTTAAAGTTATTCCTCACTTTCCTTACGCATTCTGAGCATCGTAATTATTCACAGAGATGAGTTTATAAGCTTTTTTTTTTACAACTCTGCAGAGCTTTGCTATGGTGATAATGCTGACAACTAGCATGTGAATGTGCACTTCCTGATTATCTGGCAATAAAATGTTTTCTAATTAAATGCAGACAGCACACAGAAGACATATTTGACTTCAAGAGCT